GAACAGAGTGGAATGCACGTGCGTAATTGCGTGAAAATATTGAAATCAGGTTTAACGATTCAATAAATAGGCCTACTCGAAGTTTAAAATCTCTTCTGTTTGCCACTTCTGTTACAGAAATTTAAAATTTATAGATTTACATAACTTGAATACTTTGGACTTATGTCATTCGAGAGCGTTAATGATTGCTGAGACTTCCATTTGTCATTGGCGTACTCATAGAAGTTGAAAACAATTCGTAATAAATAGGCGTGCCATCAATTAAACAAAATAAAAAATTGTTAGGTACTATTATGATCCCTAATAAGTCAATGCTGAACGCAATATCGGGAAACATTATCCTTAACAGCTTACCGTTGCAGACGATGATGACGAAGGGAGTTGCTTTGATTTCTTTATCCTCGTAGGCTTCAATAGAATTCAAATCCTTCGTCTCGGAATTGCTGAACAACACGTTGTATGACGTGAAAATGAATGCTAAGACAGTTACTGTAATCATTACAGTTAGAGTTTTCTTAAAATGGTACAACATATTGAGCTTGAATATAAATTTCTGTTGATGGCAAAAAATATTACAGATTACTTCCTGTAAAAAATATTGCGTAGAATTTCATATTTGTAATTTATTAACCAAAATCATTGCTCTTATGGTGATTTTTGTATTATGTTAAACTATTTTGTTATAATGGATAGAAATCATTGCTAATTAACTATCGAAGTATTAATAAAATACAAGGCGATTAAATTTATTGGATAAATTCTTAATTGTCAGAAATTTTTAATTATCATTTTAGTTTAAAGTTTACTGGAGGCTAAGTGCGGATGGATGAGGTGATAGGGTTAATGTTGGGTGGAAAGCAGAAGCAAAGGCAAGTGGATATGTCAATATGAAATATATATGTGAGTAGATTTGATTTTTAATAAATTGCGTGAATATTTAGGTTATATACGTATTTATGAATACGTTTATAGATTTGCTTACTATTATTCATATTTACATACAATTATTCATCAATATTCTGAACCAATACGAACATTTAGGCTAGTAGGGGGTTCTGAAAACCCAACATAAACATTATATTATATTGTATTAAATTATATTATGTTATATCATATTATATTATACTATATTATAACATATTATATTATATTATATTATATTATATTGAATATTAAATGATATTGCTCTGCCAAATTATTTTTCACGAGTGACAGTTTTTCCAGTGAATATTATAATTAGTAATCATTTTTCCAAGTAGTAAGCCCACTCGAAAAATTTTCATTACGTGAGAGTTGTATTTTGATGAAGACTAGGAACAAATAATTCATAAAGTTTTGGCGTTGTCTTCGACGAGATGATACATTTAATTGGTTTTCCATAAAATGACATACGATGTTGAGCATAAATGTTTTTTTTATTCTCAATCATATTTTTTAATTGTTTTGTTTAATTTCAGAACATCCACTTCCTCAATAATTAGTTTATGCTTATTTAACTTCATTTCACCAACATTTGAAGTTTGTAAACACTTAGTGTCGACGGTAAGCAACAAGAGTGAAACGAGAGAAAGAACCAACGGTGAAGTTAATAATAATGCCGTTAGCGCCAATCAAAGGTTTTCATATTGTTCATTTATAAACCTAATTCCCAACTACATGACCTCACAAGGAATGTTTAGACGGTTCCTTGACACGTTGCACCTACTATAGCTATAATGAAACGGAAATCGATCAACGAATTTTATCATGCCATCCCTCTGATTTTATAAACTTTTCCTTAAGTAGAGCTGTTAATGTATTAGATTTCCTTGTTTTTTCCTTGTTGACCGTCAATGTCCTGTAGGAGTAGGAATGATCGATAGACAGGGAAAATGGTTGATGATCATCTTCAATTCAAGCATTTCGAAGTGGAGCAGATCCTATTCCGATTTTAAATCATATTTTCCTGGTGAGCGTGGCGCTGCCTGCAGCTTCTGCACTAGGCGCAGCATTTCAAGGTTCATCTAGCATTTTCATTACGAATTTTTCGCTTCGAATATAAATATTTAAAAAAGTTTGATTGAATAATAAAAAAATTTAAGAATCTATGGCTGCGTGTTCAATTATTTTTTTTTTGTATTAACGACGTAATTGTCTCATTTTGAATAGTGTTCTGGGGAGCATATGTCATCACGCACAATTTCTCGAAAATTGGCTGATAGTGTATCATACATTCCATTTTTATTTTGAATGGATTGTTAGTTAGATTATTAGTTCGTGACTTTACCAGCCTTCTGCGTGCCAATAATCATTTGACCTCAATATCATATATGGGACATTAACCATTATATAACGGTTTTACTAGTTTTAAAACCATGAGAAACCGTTATATAATGTTTTTTTATTTTTTTAAATTAATACATTCAATATATTTTTTACATGTTTCGAACAAATTCTTCTAACATTTCCTACATTTTGACCGTTTCTTACAATTTGTCAGTGATCTGATAGTGGTAACGAATAAAAAAGAATACATATTATATTAATCGGTTCAAACTCAATCGATGTCAAAATGTATTCATTGGGAAATATTTAAATATTTCTTTTTTTGGCACATGGTGTCTGGAAAGTGTTGCCTGACTGTCATGACGAAGTATAAAAATATATACATATCCCCCGCATGAGAGCCTGTAAACATATCCTCAGTGCATCAAAATAAAGTAGCCGATAATATTGGGTTATCGACTTCAAGCCACTCCATCTCAAAATGATCATGAATTCAACTGGCTTGGTGGTACCATTGACAACAACGTCAAGCTCCGGACTATACGAAATAATTGACCCTGCAAAAAATGGAGACTTCTTCGAAACGCCAATGCAATCTGTGAATTTTGCTTCTTGAAACAAGGTTATTTACTTATTTTACGTCTTTTCCTGTGTTGGTCCCATTTCGACGTTGATGTGAAATTTAATTTGGTCTTTCAGCTTTCAACCTAAAATCAATATTAATTAAAAGTTTAAAAATAAATCAACATTGAACGTCCCAATATCGGCGTTATTTCAACGTTTAAATAAGGTTGTTTTACGTATTTTCTAGTGATATATAGTCAGATTTCGACGTTGATTGGACATTTAATTTGGGTTGTTTAGTCTTTCAACCCGAAATCAACAATGATTCAAAGTTTTAAAATAAATCAACATACAACATACCAATATCGACGTTATTTCAACGTTGAATTAAAGTTATTTTACGTCTCTCCTAGTCGAAAGTTTTCGTTCAAATTAGGGTCGCCCCAGTGGTAATGGAGTCGGCTTAGAGGTGCATCAGGCGCAGATCGGCCACGTACGGTGTTTGACTTCTATTTTACAGCCTCTTCCGGAAGTCAATTGCCCGCTTGGCCAATATTACGTAATATGACTAAAAAGAACAGCTGGTCAAGCTTTCTCATGATACCCCTTGTCAAACGCTGATGAGGCTACCGCATGATGGGGCTGTTCAGAGGCCAAACAGGGTAAATGCGCCAACCATGACCATTTCCCTCTCTATAAATGGTGACGATGACTGTTCCCGTGTACGTTCGGTATGTGATTCGACTGAACGAAAGGCGAGTCGACTCTAACTTGACCTATAGCATGGTGAATTTAGCCTTTGATGAACAAACCAATGCATCTACTGTTCAGGACGCATATTTTTAACCTGACACTTCTGCAGATTAATCCCACTTCTTAGCACATAAATCACATCATGAAATGTTGAAATGTAAATGAATAAATTTTGCAGATACTCGAGCAAATTAAGAAATCTAAAACTACTTCTACTCCAAGAATATGATGAATAACACAGAAGAATAACGCAAAATAAATTCTCTTTCACTAAATCTATTCCCTACCGGAAATTTTTGCATAGATTTTCTGAAGTCGCTTTAATACACCGGAAGAAATAACACCAGAATTATTGTTGCGGGAGCTGTTAACAGAAAACTCGAATCATTCCGATGAGTGAAAGAATCAATTGTGAACTTACATTTCGTGCGCTCACACATGTGTGCGCCGAATGTGCCCCAATACGCAAACCATAATCTACTCCATAATTGCAATAACGCTCAAGCTCCAACTGAAAAGGTTGAAGTGCTTCCTTGATTCAAGTGCACATCAAAAAGAGCTTTTAGTCTTACAGCTAACTCGTTTCAATGCGTGCGGGGGTCTACTTACCGCACTTCCATCCAGGCAAAGCGTTTAGCTTTAGCCGTTGCCGCAAGCCGTCAATCGTCATAGCAAGGCACAAGTTTAAAACTAACAGCGAAGCAGGCTAACTTGGTGCTGTTCTGGCTGCCGAAGTAAGAGGTGTACTCTGCTGAGCTCCCGTGACATCAGCCGGTTTCGGCCGGCTGCTACGTCATCGTTCCCGAATTTTGGAAATGTCAAAGATACTATGCAGCGCTGCCACGCTCCAAGGCGTTAAGCTGGCGAAGGTACTACTAGCTAGAGGTCAACCCCTGAACACCTATTCCCTCTGCAAAATGATGAGATGACTCAAGACCAAGTTTCTCGGACATCGTTTGTACTCTGAAGTACAGTGTTGAAATAAGGATACGTTAGCAAATTATCACATGGATTATTACATCACGTTACGAAGATTTTCAGATGCCCCCATGTGAGGTTAGTGCCCTCGGGTTTGTGGTTGGTACTCCAAGTGAGTGGTTGGTGCCCCCAGGTGAGGGGTTAGTTCCCCCAGGTGAGTGGTTAGTGCCTCCAGGTGAGTGGTTAGTCCCCCCAGGTGAGTGGTTAGTGCCCCCAGGTGAGTAGTTAGTGCCCCAGGTGAGTGATTAGTGCCCCCAGGTGAGTGGTTAGTGCCCCCAGGTGAGTAGTTTGTGCCCCCAGGTGAGTGGTTAGCGCCTCCAGGTGAGTAGTTTGTGCCCCAGGTGAGTGGTTAGCGCCTCCAGGTGAGTGTTTAGTGCATACAGGTTAGTGGTTACTGATAAGTGCCTCCAGGTTAGTGTTTAGTGCCCCCAGATGAGGGGTTAGTTCCCCCCAGCGGGTCCAGTTAGTTCTCTCTGCCCTGGTGTGGGACTCTCTGCCCTGGTATGGGACCCGCTGCCTTGGTGTGGGACCCGCTGCCTTGGTGTTGGTCTCTCTGCCCTGGTGTTGGTCTCTCTGCCCTGGTGTGGGACTCTCTGCCCTGGTATGGGACCCGCTGCCTTGGTGTGGGACCCGCTGCCTTGGTGTTGGTCTCTCTGCCCTGGTGAGGGACTCTCTGCCCTGGTGTGGGACTCTCTGCCATGTTGTGGGACCCTCTGCCTTGGTGTGGGGCTCTCTGCCCTGGTGTGGGGCTCTTTGTCCTGGTGTGGGGCTCTCTGCCCTGGTGTGAGGCTCTCTACACCGGTGTGGTCTCCACTTTGGCGGCCCATTTTGAAGTCATTCAGCCGTGGAGAAACATTATACAACTCGTCAGGACACCCAAATCCGTAGCTAAGAAGTAAATGCCTTCAAATTCCTCAAACTGCACTGCCATGGGGCCGCATTGAACAAGTCTTCAAAGGCTCCCATAAAGTTTAAGTAAAAAAAACAGAGAAGCAGGATGTATAAAAGAGTGATCGACGCTTTTCAAGAAGGTTGAATGATTGTGTCACCTTCAGCGAGCTGTAAACGATTTTATTGAAAAGACCATTGCATTTGTAGACATTGAATAGGATGAAAATTAATATTTTGAGCGCTTGTGGAAGTGTTTCTTCGATTTCGAATATTGTCTGGAGATCACTGTTCCGTAAGCCCACGAAATAATGATTTCTCCAACAATAGATATATTCAGCTTTGGGCATATATATGTCTGCTTAAGTGGTTAAAAAGTAGCTCTTCCAGATGTAATTTTAGTTGGAATATCTTCCTGTGTTACTATGGAGTCAAGTGCAAGGTATCAAATGGCCCAAACTTTTGGTGAACGCGAGACGAACTGCATGTCGACAAGCAGTCACATATTCATCCTGTTGCAGGTAACAGAGATCGGACCCATAACTTACGGCTCAAGTCATGGTACTCTGAATTCTAACCACTTGGCCCCTTGCTAATGAATTAGTGCCCAGAAAACAGTTTCTTCAACTTTTGACTGCTAAATTTCGATTTTCATGATTTTTCATGATCGTATGATACGTCAAACCAGTCAGGCATAATTTTTTCTCTAAAATTGACATTGAACGTTTCAACAATTAACTGCAAGGAAAAAGATAGAGATTCCATAAGAGCAAGAAACAGACTAAAGAATTTTTTAGTCCCGAATTTTGACACAATTTTTCATTAAGAAATTGTGAAAACGTCGACTATCGACCTTATTTTTCACTCATAATTATTAACTCATTATACTCATTTTTGCATTATTGTAAATCATTCTTTATAAACGCTGGAATATGATAAAATAATTTTGCTTCACCATCTATATAAAACATAATGTGTAATTTTTAGCTTGTTAAAACATTATACTAGAACATTTTGCGACTTGACATTAGAGTCCATGTATCATTAGTCTGCTTAAATTGCTAGTAAAGTAAGTAAATTTACGATATTCTCAAGAAAACGTTTCTGAGACCTGCTCCATCCTTCCTTTTAAAATAAAAGAGAATACAATGATGGATCACGGACGAAACGAAGACTGCAAAGATTTCGTTGTACAGATTTCGAACTATATCGTTACTCAGGCGCAGTTAACTAAATACTGTTGACGACACTTCGTTGCCGCACTACAAAGAAAAGATTCGCCATGCAAATAAATATAAACAAAGAAAGGCTTTGAAATTTGTGATATTTTTGTGACGACGCCACGACGACCACGTCATTGGTTGGCTTTACGAACCGAATTTTTAACACTTGTAAGTTCAGCCTAACATCCAGTCCTAAACTATTACTCATTTTGTTAACAACTACTTTATTATATTTAAATTTTCAGCTTACTTCTTAAGTTTTAAAGAAAAAGAATTATTTTACAGGCCAACATGTGATTCTGTCAATATGTTAGGTTTGTACGTAAAGAGATTTATCGTGACCAGTACGTATTCAGACGCTGAAAAATTAAGAAAAGAAAAATATGTTGAAACCGAGATCAATAGAACCTTAGAGCTAAAAATTTCACAGGAACACTTTTTTAGCTCAAATAATAAATGATAAATCAAAACTTGAGCATAATACCAGCAATTGATCTACGTGAGTGACATAATGCTGCGTTATAACGACATATGGTGTCCGCAGCGGTGGACTGTGGAATCCTTCGGTATACTCGCCACGAGTTATAAGTGGGCAACTGTCTTCATCGATCAAAGTTCCTCCAATTGTATTTCAGCAGAAAACAAATGGGCACCCACAAACTATTCGCCTACTTTCCTGCTGCATATCAGAAATTAAATGCGATTTTCGATAATATAAGAAAAGTATTTATTGCCATAATGACCTTGGGATGTGCTAGGCAATATAACGGAACACGTCCCGGTTGTGAGTACTTTTTAGACAATCTACGTACTGATGTCAGCCTTGTCAGCAGAAATTTAAAAGTGTCTGCGAAATGAATTGAGAATGATTCCAATCAAATTGAAAACAATTTCAATTAACCACATCAATCACAACATTTTCGGACATTTTTTTCAGCAGTTTCGTGAAACTGTACAAGCAGAACTGATGTGTTTCATTGCTGCCTCTCCTCCGCCGCATCTCGTCCTCCCGCGCGTGCAGAGTTGCGGTCAAATTGTGCAGCAGAACCGACACGGGGGCGGTCATGGCGTGCCGCTCCCACGCCAGGAAGATCTCCTGAACAAAAAGTCCTCATGTCATGTCATATCCTAATTTTCAACGGTCTTTATTTAATTTGTTAACCTTAGAGTCGATACTTCACCAGAAAGCTATTGTTTTATGGAAAAAATCTCATTCTCATGGGGGTAAACAATTTAATGGTTGATTAAGCTTGCGATATATGAACTGTGTAATGCTGGTTAAAAAACAAATCGGATTAACAAAAAAGCATCATAATACACTTTTTTAGAAATAAAATTCAAGAATATGAAGATGTTTCTCTCACAGAAAAATGTTGAGAGAAAATTTCTGTACGATTCCAACTTATGCGCGATGCACACAGGCAAAATCTGTACGTTGCTAGTTTCTAATAAGAAATATGAATGATTATTTGCATTGCAATTCAAAATTCAAAAACACGTTTCTCAAAACGCTAAATTTTGATCCTCTGTTTACGATTAGTTGTTCCACAACTTGGAACAGCAAATTTCGACATTTTTGTTGAATCTTACTTCGCATCCCGTCATATTTCTATTTTGGACGATATGTCCCAATACTTGGAATGACCAACATGACAGACCAGGCGTATGCGTGCTTAGCTTGCCATGTTTTACAAAATCCATACAATTATTGCCAGCATCAATACCAACCGCCTTCCCTCTGAATACCAGGAAGACTCAACCCAAAATTATGTCGTCTTCTTCATCTAAATTCAAATACACCAGATGACAAATTCATACACATTACCCTCAAGTTCAGCCACCTACACGCTCATGACTTCTCGGTCCCATTGTTCCAGGCCAAAGTAGGTTTCCTCCAAGTAAAAAATAAAAATAGGCATTAAAAATTTTATAAAATTAAATCAGATTCGTAGGCGTGTTGAAGTTAGAGATATGAAAGGGCTAAAATGGGTTGTTAAAAAAACAGCAAATTGCGTGACTACGGACTCATACGTTTCTTTTTGTTCTAATTTCAATGAGAAGGTATCCAATACCTCATACGAGATAACATAATACTACACTTAATTAATTGGGATAATCAGTCTAGAAGGCAAAACTCACATTCATTGGGATCACAAAACGGATGTAGTTTTCTTCCCAGAATTCCGTAAAAAATCTCCTCCTCGCCCCATGCACCAAAGAGAAGCCTGTTTTCTCAATGGAGTTGCAGCTCCAGTTAATTGAGAGGCATTGTTCTATGCTGCCATTCCAGTCGCAGGTGAGGTCGTAGATGTACTCTGGAAACTGTCGCACAATTTTATATCACAATCTCCACCGAAGAGCGTAATTTAAAGTCTGTCTTTACACATTTGACTATGAATTTCGTACCTTGTTATCATGTAAGTCTACTAAATATACGACAAAAATTAGTATTAAAAAATTAAGTAATTATTTTGTCACTAGACTGTAAGATTATTATTGTCTAATGAAAGAGATCAACGTACGTGCGGCTGGTTTTACGAACTTCCCGCGAAAGACCTTTAGGATTGAATAAAGTAGGTAATATTGAACATGGGTAATATTGAACATGCATTATGCGTAGGTGTTTAAGGCCCTGATTGAAAGCCGTGCGAAGTCTGAGAGCAAGGTTTTCGCGACCATCGCGTAAAATCCTTGATCTGCCCGAAGCTCGGCCAGTCGCTACCCTCGAGCTTTACTCTTTGTAATATGATATCCTAGCCAGCTCCTTTCTCGCGGCAACTGCATGGTCGCTTTCAGGTGGCCGAGGAATGGCCAACGGTCGGCTATAACTAATTGGACTAGGCCGACCACTGGCCACGTATTATTCTTCGCCTCTCATTGAGTTCCCGGCACCATGCCGCCCGTCGTGAACTAACAGTCGAGTAATTTACGACGTCTCTTTCCCCTCAAACTTTCCACAACGCCTCCATTTGAGCAGCTAGTATGCGGGATTTTCCCTCCGCCTTTCAGCAGGCTCGATCATAACTATTTTTTGAGAAAGAATATTTACAACAAGGAGGCTGATCAAGGAATGCCGAGTATACCATTCAATGGAAAATAAAAATTACAACCCTTTTACATCTCGAAAAAAGTAAAAAAGTCGCAGACTGGATGAGCAATAATATTTAAAGTTTCTTGAAATTTCCTCTCATTAAAAGTCTTTTAATGTAAAGTTTACATATTTCTTGTTACTGGTCGCCGCTTATAAATAAATAGCTGGGTAAGCATGGAAAAATCCATATCGCCATCTCATTTACGAGTGGAGTAAAGTCTATTCTAATTTGTGAAGAAACGCATAGGGAAGAGCCGAGCCTGTTCAAAGCCTCGCGACCCTCAACTAGGGCCATAAGAATGTGGATAGAAGCGATGTAGCAAGTTTGTAAGACGTGGTTGTTTCGAGACCGTGGGAACGAGTTAGTATACATCGAGCGCTGGTTCAGCGCGAGGGAAATTCCAGTCGAGGAATGCGGCGTCATTTCGAGGGTATAGGCTTAACTGTCCGCACACCAGCGTATAAAAGGACCTTAAAATTGGCGCCAGTTCTGTTCTACGGAGGTGACCGTCACGCAAGCACGGTCTGCAATCAGCGGACTTTGTAACAGCCGCGGCCGTGAGGCCGGCGGTTTCCCCGTTTTTTTCGAACATTGACGGTCGCGAGAAACCTGGACTTACCTATC